GTCCAAAATGTTAACAGTGCTGAATTTTAGACACTCTGACCTAATCTGGTACAAGAGAACATCTTCAGGTTATTAATTCACCTTTATTATTGAAATGAAGGGCCCAGTTCTAGAATTTATAAAGTGACCACAAAACAGAACACATAAATCATTGTATAATGTTATTATTTGATGTTTATAATTTTCACTGAAAAATGTATGAGAAGCAAAGAAAGTAAAGAAGTAAAGAAAAAAGCAGACCTTTATTGTCTACAAGAAACATTTTTTATACATATTGAGAGGCTTTAATGTTGAGGTCTGTGCATTATCTGTTAAGCTGCTTCCAAGTGTTCGTGCCATTTAAATGACATAAAAATATTTCTGTACGTTATCTTTTTAAGCCAAGGAATTCAGTCAAAATACAATGCGGTTGAAGAAATTAGAGACAGAATTTTTTCTTCCTTAAGGAAGAAGCTGAATGTCATGATCCATTTTTGTCACCATAAATTCTTGCATTTCCAACAGGACAGCAGCATGCAACTTTTTCAGATTTTGTTACATGGTTAGCATTCACTTAGAAAGAGATGTTATTTTTTCTTCTTTTTCTGAAGGGAATGTAAGTACTAATTAATAAAAATAATGACTAATGCAGACCAAATGCACATTTTTGGGGTATGTAATTTTGAAAAAANAATGGTTTGGTTTCTAAACACTTTTGTCTTGGTTTAGAGTAGAGACCACTGCCAGGTAGGCAAGCTCAGAAAGAATTTGTTGCAAACTAGTTTTCGAATAAAAATTTGTATTGCTTTTTGTTCTACTTCTAAACAAAGCAAAACAAAAAGATAATGTGTTTTGAAAATATTTTCCTCCAATAATTATTTCAAACACTGATGTGAATATGTTAACTGGCAGGATTAGAATAAGGAAAAACATTTTGAAATTATCTGACTTTATTATTAAATTATTCCGGAGTATATATCAATTCATTAGGTAAACTGTGTGAAGTTAAGTATATTCAGAATTTATTGTAAATAAAATTCAACCTAATATTTTATTGTAAATAAAATTCAACCTAAAGTTATTCAATGAAATAACTTTTAAATAAATAATCTTTAAAAATTATATTTCATAACAAAATTTGTATAAATTTATAATAGACTTTTACAAGGGTACTTTATAAAGTTTATGGAAAAATAAAAGATAATATGAATCTTTCCACTGACTTTTCAAAGTTCCCTTGTACATAATTTATTTATTCTCATCTGTAAATAAGATGCTAAACCAGTGAATAATTTCATTGGATATGCATTTTTCATCATTTCTTAGCTTTCTGAATTTCTAAAGATATTATTCTGTTTTCTTTCCTACAAATAAGCCATCATCTCTTAGTAAGCTGTTTAAGTTTAGTAATGTTGACTGCTTTCCATTAATATAATTTTATATATTGTAATTCAACTGATAATTTTGTATATGAATTTTAGTAAATTCTTAGGAAAACAAGCCCAGATTTCCTGAATTATTTTCACTTATAAATCAATATTTTGATCATTGCTAAAATGTTAGTTTATAAAGAAAAAGCAATAAAAAGAGAAAATTATGAGGTTTAATTTACATATAATTCAAACATATAATTTACATATAGTAAAAAGGCTGAAGTTTAGAGATGTTCACATTTAAACTTCAAACTTTTTATTCTGAAAATTTCTTTCTGTTCAAGCCAACTCTGGTTGTTATGTTGCGTGCCCATAAGTAGTACAAAAACCAAACTCTTTAAATTCTCAAATTATAATCTCCCTAATTTAATCATTTCCAACTGGGGGGTGATTTTATCCCCTAGGGGACATTTGGCAACATCAGGGAACATTTTCCAATTGTCACAATTGGGAGTGGGAGGGTGCTACCAGCATCTAGTGGGTAGAGCTCAGGTGCACTGCTAAACAGCCTACAATACACAACACAACACCCCACAACAAAGAAATACCTCGTCCAAAATGTTAACAGTGCTGAATTTTAGACACTCTGACCTAATCTGGTACAAGAGAACA